GAAAGAAAGAAAGAAAGAAAGAAAAGAGAAAAAGGAAAGAAAAACTTCTGAGCTCTTAGAAAAGAAGTTGCTAATCACCGGCATCTAGTATATGTTGGGTTCACTGACAAAGAATTGTGCCACTCATATGCACTTTGTTTTTGATGGGGCTTCTAGAATGTTTAGGGAAAAGAAAAGCACAGACATTGTGCACCTTGACTTTGGCAAAGTGTTTGACAAGGTCATAGTGCCCTAATACAAACTGTGGACTGGAGCGTAGGACAGCTGATAGACTGTTCTTCAAATGGCCAAAGAACACTGGTCTGTAGGCTGACCAGGAAGGAGCCTCTCAAATGAATGCTTCAAGGCAACTTGACCTTGTCCTGCTCCAATAGCTTTAGCAAAGATTCACATGAAGCCCAGATTAGATTACCCAGCACACTTACCACCACTGGAAAGGGTGATAATTTATAATCTCAGCTGCAATGAGGAGACAAGACCAAAAGATCCCCAAGGTGCATTAGTAGTTTGGACCCTACAGAGCTATTGTCCAAACCTGGCTGTACATCAGAAACACCTGGGACTGTGTTATAAAACACAGATACTCAGGCCTTACCCCAGACTTACTCAACTAGAATTTCAAGAGGTAAAGCCATGGCATTTGTATTTTTTAAATAAACGACTCAGGTGATCCACAGGTAATCAGCTCAGTACCCTACTTGCAGAACCATTGCCCTACTGGGATTTAGTAAAGCAGCTTTTCTGGGGTAATAATGATCCATTACCCAGTAGTCTGGATATCTTCATGGGCTTTCAAATTATGAGATAATCCCTCTCTATACTGTGGCTCCATCCAACCGTGACTCTTCCTGAGAGGGCTAGGGGAAGGCAGGGAAGAGAAGGCGCACAGGGCTTTGATCAAGCATGCATAGGCTTTGATGTCAGTCAAACTAGGACTTGAGCCTGGCTTCTGGAACCTACCGTCTGTGCAAGGAGGCTCTGTGCTTGCATTTTCTTATCTTAAAATGTGGGGATTTAATGAGCTCACACAGGTAAAGGGTTTGCCTAGCATATAAGTGGCCAATTGACACCAGCTATTACTGTTAATAGGCTGTTCAGTCAACTCCCCATTCTGTGGATCTGGGGTTCACAATATTACCAGAACACACCTACCCAGAGAAGGAAAGAAACTATTATCTACAGGGTATGAGCTATGTCCTGGCCACTAGGGCCCCCACAGATCTAATCTTATTTCCTTTAATTGTCACCAAAATCCTCAATTTTACAAATGAGGAAGCTGAGGCTCAGGGAGGTCAAATGACTTTCCCCAAGTCACCCAGCTATAACAGGACAGATATACACCAAGAACTTGGCTAATAAACTTATGCTGAGGATTCCCCATGGCACTTTTTAAGTGGTTAATATATGGAGCGGAGAAAGCTTTGCCCTTTAAAAAAAATTTAAAGAGAGACATTTTGAAACTGCGAGGGAGGGGGGAAGTCACACCACCTACACTCCCTGTTACCTGAACACTCAGCAATTAGCGAAGGAAAAGCCCAAAGGGCAGCCATTGCATGCTGATGACCTCTCTTGCTGTCTCAACACACACACACACACACACACACACACACTCTCTCTCTCTCTCTCTCTCTCTCTTCCCTAACCGCCTGATTTAAAATTATAACTCCCCATGACACCTTTATTTCTTGGCCCTGCTTTGATTTTCTTCTTGCAATTTCACTGCTGTCTCGCATTCTATCAGTGTGGTTATCTTGTCTATTGTGACTCCTCCCCCACTAGAGCATTAGCTCCTTGAGGGAAAGAACAAAAAGAACATTTGTCTATCTTATTTTCTCCTATATCCACGTGTCTGAAACAGCCTGGCATGCATTGGCATTCAATAAATATTTATAGCAGCAATGACTGGATGAACTAATAGAAAACATCTTAAAAGGTATCAATCATAAATGCTGAAAGTCATGAACATTTTTTAAATAGCTGCATGTTCTGGTTTTTCTATTATAAATACGTATTCTTTGTGTAATAATAGTTTTCAAAATGCAACCTCAAGTGTCCAGATTGTTACTGACTTGAAGCCAAATCAAATCAAAGGGCAAACAGCAAAGGGCAATGATAGGACTAGGTTGATCTTCCAGAAGGCAGGTGTGCTGGGTACATTCACAGGCACCTCCAGATCCCCTCTCCGCCCTTCATTACTATGCTCTGTGCCCTGGGACACCCATCTTTTTGAGCTGCATCGACAAGCTCCCTTGGCCTTTGGATTCTGGTTGGGAAAAGAATGAGGTTGGGCTGTTTATTCCCCGGCTCTTGCCTTTGCTACTGGGTCTCTGCAGATTGGCTGTGTCCCAGTGGAAGGCCCCAGTGCCTCTGTGTCTGCCGCCTTCTCTGCACTCCTGCTCTTTCAGATTATATAACAGTCCCCATGCTTGCCTGCCTGGGCCTCAGGCGGTAACATCTCTCCATTTTTGCACAACCTGGAGAACTTTACTTTCTTTGCCAGTCTTCCAAACTCTGCTCACACCTTTTAACATGTCCCT